TGCCACTAAAAAATCTCTTTCCCTAGCGCTTTTCAAAAATTGCTTCCTGAACTTGCAATAAAACTGATGGCTTCCTGGTGTTCTTAATACCTAATCGTAATCGCGTAAAACAGGAGAATGTAAAGCATAATAACAGGCAGATAGGCAACTTATATTGCATACTTATACACGAAGTAACATGGAACCCTGCACTTACTGGAACCTGACCAACGTAACGCAGCACCAGTTCAGTTAAAGGCTCGAAGGGCCAAATGTAGCGCTTACTGGAACCCACCAGTCCGAAAGCTCGAAGGACGAAAGGACCGCTACATCCCAATTCGTCCCGCCTATGCAGGTGCAGTTAAACCCCAATAAATCATCCCCTGAAACGAATATCTTTTTTAGGCAAAATGCTTGCTTCAAAAGGATCGCATATAATTCGCTATTTGTTATCGTTCTGTTCCGAATGCCATGTTACACTCGAAATTTACCCTTATTACTATATTATTGTGTCACGGCGTCAAAAACTCATACTAAAAAAGTTTGTGCCAAAAAGACTGAAGCTTCTTCTGAAGATTGAATGTTTCAAACTTTCATAATAATGATTAATATTCGCGATTACTTTTACGATGCCGACAACCGGATCAAGGCCTGCGAAAATTACGCATCATTACCCAACGTACCGTGGATATTTCGATTTTTTCCCTCCGCACATCCCAACCTTCGTATAGGCTTATATAATGACGTTAGAGGATTCTCATCGCTAATTGTAACAGATACTTACGACACTTATCCATTATTGCGCTATTGAGAAGTGCGGAGGATTACTACACAATTAACGGTCGTGCGTGTCAAATGAGCCGGATTCTTTTTTCTTCAAATGAATGTTAATTATATCGTTAATTCGAGATTACGGTTGTAGGGCTTGAAAGGTACTGCCCGAATGGAGTTTATTGTCTCGTTCGTTACGTAAATTCAGTATGTTACACAGGCCGTTTTGAAATATATATATATATATATATATATATATATATATATATAGTTCAAAGGGCTGTAACTTTTGATCAAGTGGTCCAATCTTGGAACTGTTTGAAATTATGGATTCTACGGACCAAACTCTATAAGAAAATGTTTCCCGGTCGATCACAGACAATTTTTTTCTACGGTCTCAAAAAAAGGCAGTCAAATACTTACGAGTTTTGAAATTCCTTTGTTTGCTTGGAATTCCCGGGTCTATTCGATTTTTTTTTATTTGTTGCACTCTCCAGCAGGTTATTGATTACTCTGTTTCTTTATTTCTTTCCATTTTTACCGTCCTTTAATTATATCAGTTGTGTTTTCCATCCTTCCCCCCTCTTTCGCTAAAAAAAAATTTGATACTCTTCCTTCCGTACAATCTTCACCATGAAAGTGTTCGTTTATTCATATACACAAAGTCTTCGCGTGCTGAGGGGTGTTCCATACCCCCCCTGACCTCCGTTCTGTTTTTAACCAATCAAAGTGTCATTTTTTTAAATTATCCTAGGCGTTTTGAGGGATAACCTAGCCCCAAGGGGTTACTGGGAGAAAGGAATACCTCCAGCATATGAAGAGTATACAAATGCTATAATGCTAATAATGGTAGGGAAAAGGAAACAAACAACCCCCCCCCCCTCCACTTTAGCTTTTCACCCCAAAACAGGGACCTAGCGCTCTTCAGTATTCGCCCTATATACTTCGAGAAGGGGCCTTTGACAATTATCTCCATATTTTTTCTTTCCTCTCTTTATCTCCTCGTGAGTCCTTTTCTAAGTTACATCTTCCATCCTTTCCCCTATTTCGTTCCTCTCTTCGACCTCAGCACATTTCTTTCATAATAATTTTTTCCTTGCTATCCCAAAAGAAATTTCCCTCAAGTAATGGTCCGCCCGTCTCCCCGTCCGTCCCTCGGTCTGCCCGTTCATCCTTCTGTTCGTCTTTCCGTCTGTTCCTCGTCTAGCTCGAGAACGAAAAGGGCAGCGAGTATTCTCTTACTTCTTCTCTACATTTTCTTATCCCTCCCTCTTCTATTCAACGGCCCTTTTCCTTTGCAAATTTAATTCTATTTTTTTCCTGTGATAAACACACAATTTTGATTAACAATGACAACGAAATTTATTCCGAAACAAATGAAAGAAATAGAACAAATTCCCAGAGAGAAACGAAAAACGTATGAAGCTTGTTTAGACATAATACCCCGCACTCAGTCGGTCGACAAATAAAGTAAAAAAATCTTAAATTACTTAGTTTTTTGCGCATTTTTTTAAAAATGAAAAAAAATGTGCTATTGTTTGCGTTTTGTCCATCCGTCCGTTCGTCCGGACGCACTTCTGCTGTTTTGAACTACTTCTAGGGGAATGGTCTTAGAGTCCTGGAATTTTTTGCAGTAGGTAGCCTATACCTTGGAGGTGTGCCAGACGGTCATCAATCTTCGCAGTTTTAAAGGATGGGGGGGGGGGTATGAAATATTTCCTGAGACGCTTTTTTTGAAAGTATAACTTTTACTTACGACAACCAATTGGTCTCAGATTTTGCATACGCTTAGTGGTGCAAGCTAAACCTTTGAAAATGAGGAGGGGGTTAACACACGCTCTACCCATTCCAGGGCGACTCCTTTTCGAGATTGGTGGGTGACCGGGCCTGGGGGGAAGGATGGTGGTGTTAAAATTAATTTCTTTCATGGTATTATAATTAAAGGACTCAACAAAAGGAACCGTTTTCTACCAATTACTGCCCTTCCTTCTGTCCTCTTCTCAAAAGCCGGAACTGAGGGGGGGGGGGTGAACTGACTTTATCCTTCATGGTACTCTAATGAAGGGTCTCAACGAAAGGAATTTCTTTCTACCACCCATACTCTTCCTCCTCTTTATTGAGAAGAACGGGCTTGCGAAAAAAAGAGGATAGGTAGAATGGACCTTCGGTGTGCCTAAGTGCTGCCTCTTCAGGCTCCCTTTATGAATAGTTAGATAGATAAGAGAGAGCTAAAGGGAGGTGGGATATAAATAGATGGAACGTATGAAGGATCAAGGAACAAGGATCGGTACTAAAAGAATTAGGGAGGTGGCTGAAATAAAAGGAACAAAATCTAGATAGGGATATAGAAAATTAATGATACAAGTCAAAGAATATAACTGGAGTAAAGGAAAAAAAGGGCTACAAATAACATACAGAAGAAGGGAGAGGAGAGGGACGGAGTAATTAATAGGAAATAGACATAGGAAGAATTAGGGAAGGAGTTTGAAATGAAATAAAAATAAAATTAAGATATAAAGAGGCGACAAAGAGGGAGAAGTGTTGTTGGAATTATCAACAAAGAAACGATGGAGGATTATGAACGCAAGTATGAATGATGGATAGGGTCGGACAATTCACATGCGTGGGAGGAAGGTCGGCATTTGACTATACTTTAGTAAATGAAAAAATACTGGAAGAAATAGAATTGGATCACCAACGGATGGAATTGAGACTAAATATAAAAATGAGCAAGTGAAGAAACGGAGAGAAGGAAAAAGGGAGGGAGATACAGTTATAGACAAAAGACTGTGGGAAACGAATATAGAGAAATGAGAGTGAGAGAACAGAAAAACAAAAGAAAATGTAAAAAAAAGATGGTGAAATAGAAAGAATACGAAGAGCACATCAAGGAAATAAAAACAGAGAAAGATGGAAGGTGATAAACAGAGGAAAAAAGAAAAATAGAACAAGTGGGAGGGAGATACTAGTACATTTAGAGGAATGGGAAAAAACACCGGGTACTGCATAGAAAATGAAAGAAAGAGGAGGCTATGGAAGAGGTGACAAGAGAAGAGAGCGGCACAGCGAGACAAAATAGGAGATGAGATTTGGATTTTCGCCACAAATAGAAAGGAGGGCGTTTAGCTAAATGGAAGAAAGGGGTAATAGTGCCGATTTTCAAAAGGAGTGATAAAGACTCTATGGGAGTCACGAGAATACGACAACGTATAGAAACTATATAACCATCATTAGAAATGTAAGAGAAGGGGATGTTGGAGGACACACAAATGGGCTTCGGAAAAGACAGGGGAACGATCGATTGTATTGGTAAAAACAATTGGAAAAATGGACGAAAACGTTTTGCAGGGACTTAAAAGCAACGTTTGACACCATAGAAAGTGAGAAAGTATGGAAAATGGGCAGGGAAAGGATGGGAGGGAAGAGTCTGGAGTGCTTTGGAAGGGATTAAAACAGTGATGCCCATTTAGCCTAACCATGTGGGAAAATATTAAACAGGGTCAAGGGGGAGGGATCGTAGTGAGAAGAAAAAAGTTGTGGTTCCTGGTGATAATGGCAAACAAGGGAAGGAAATGATGGGAAAGATGGAGAGGTATTGGGAAAGGAAAGGAATGAGGTCGAAGATGGGGGTTGGAAGAAAAAGTAGAGAGGAACGAATAGAAGAGGTAAGAGAAGGTACCAAATGCAAGAGAACTAAGGAAAAAGAAGAATTTTAAGAGAATCTGAAAAGCTTCCAATTTTCGCAGAGATTACGTTACAAATTCATTACAAATCGACTTACACGGGGTTACAATGGTCAAAATAATTGTCGCTTCCTGCTCCCCATAATTGAAAGTAAATAGTTGCAAAATCGACAATTTTACGTGGGAACCGGCGCGCCGAAGCCGTCGTGTAACGGTATATTAATGTGAGAGAATCGGCAAAATCGGCCGCGTGCGATGATCTGGCAAAATAATAAATTGCAACACGCGCATCGATCGTCGAAATGGGCCGCGAAGGAATCCTCGAGTGCGCCTCCTCCCCTCTCTCCCAGATATTGTTATTAAACAATTAATTGGTAATTAAGCAAAAATCGGTGGATTGCCAATCTATCGTTGGCCGATGCGGTGTGAATGTTGACAATGCTTCGGGCGAGCGTGAGATTAACGTCTGGTAAAAGTTTTTTTTACTCCAATTAGACAAAGACAATGCGATTACCAAACGCGGGTATACGCAACGTATAAAAGGCAAATTATTTTTTGTTTCTAATACAGTTCTGGTTCATTTTTTCTATCGAGAACAAGTTAGTGGTGCGTTGACTGTGATAATTCCTTTTGGGCTATGATTAAGGTTGGCGCGTTCGGCCGAAAACGCTTATAGTACCTTTGAGTTTTAGGTAATCTACGGCGTAGTGCTTTGTGTAGCGGCGGCACGATGTGAACCCCCGGTGCCTCATTATGGACCCCCCATAAGCAGTTACGGAACTCCAAACTACAACGCGGACTTCAACCACGAGCACAGCGCGGTAGGTCGAGCTTGGTGATTGCGATTCTCTTACATAAGTCACTACTTTCAGCCCAAATCCTACGAGTTCGGTTACCAGGTGAAAGACGACTACACTGGAAACAATTACAACAGGCAGGAGACGAGCGATGGTAACCAGGTGAATGGCGAATACAGGGTGCATTTGCCCGACGGACGTATCCAAATCGTCACGTACTACGCGGACTGGCAGACCGGCTTCCACGCCGACGTCCGCTACGAGGGCACGGCCTCGTATCCTGAAGACTACGGTCACCGGCAGTACGGCCCTCCAGGTTATGGCGGAAGTGGTAACTCGCCGGCGACAAGTTCCGTTTCAATCAAAGATTATTCAGGTCCGGCGACACCATACAATGCCGGCGGCGGCGGTTACGCTAACAACTACCACGGCGGCTATGACAGTTACGCTAACCCCGACAATTACGCGCCCAGAACCGGCCCACCGCCAACGTATGGGGCACCGTAGTCAAGTTCAGTATTTCAGAAGTTCGTCCCTATGGGGCTGATCAGAGCCAGTTCTTGTATAGACTTATAGTTTGTAAGTTTTAGACGTAAGGATGCCTTTTGTACATTTTCTACAGTAAAAGTTTCAATGAGAGGAAGTCTTCGATTAGCATTCAGGACTTTTCTTCCTGTTCTCCAAATTCCATTTCCGTTTCCAACTCTAGAAGACCCAAAAAGGTTTCTGGAGGTTTTTGGGGGACCATAAAGTCCGGCCCTAGAAAAAAAACCTTTGGAGATCTTTGGAAACACCTTGCAACTGATAAAAGGACACTTGTACCCTCTTCCAGCACTTAACTCCTGCTTCCTCTTATCGTTTCCACTTCTTTGCATTCCCATAGCACGTGCTCTCCTCGTCTTCCTCACCTAAGATTCTACATTGTCTTTTTCCTTTCTCCCTTTTCCCCTTCCGCAACTGAACCTCGCCATCGTTTTAATATATTTTCTTCTCTGTCGTGAGTATTTCGGCAATAACTCCCTTATTAGCTCTATGTACCTTCCGTTTCCTCGCGAACTTTTCACCCCCTGTTGCTGTGCTTGTGAATCAATTTTTTTTTTCCAGCTCATCTTCCATCCTTTTCCCTATTTTTCTTCTTCTTTCGACCTCAGTCCGACCGTATTCATTTCTTTCTTTTTTTCATTCCCTACACTGTGTCATCGCCACTACCCTCTTTTTTCCTAGTTCTCTTATTTGCACATAGCCCCATTATTTTGTGGCAATTAGCACCCTAAATATTTCACTTTTCTTATTTCTTATATCCATTATCTCCCTCTTCCCAAATGTTCTATTCTTCTATTGTCCAACACTTAACTCCATTACCTTTCTTTGCCAATACCTCTACATTTTCCTGCACCTGTTCCATCGCTGTGTCTTCCGTCTTCTTGGAACTGAAGAATTTGATGAAAATGAAGAATTGGAAGGCTAGAAGGAATCCAAGACAGTTTCTTATATTGTGAAGGAGCAATCCTTGATTCTGTTCTTTAGCGTCTTGTCAATTTTTTATTTTTCCATCATTTTCCACACTTTTTCCCTCTTCATTCTGTAAAACGTTGCTTTCAGATCAATGTAAAACGCCATCACTTTTTGAGCTTCTAAACGATTTCGAATATCCTAGAACCAACATCATTATATTTCCCAGAAAAAGTGAGTCACATTCTCCTTTGTTTCTTATTACCAATGACTAATCTTTCATGGCGCCTCGATCTCTATCGTGATTTCTAGAATATTCGCTACAATATGTACTTGCAGTCGATCGTAACCTGTATCTTTTCCATATTCTTCTCTTTTTAACTTATCATTCCATACCCTGCACACAGTCATCATTATCGTAATTCTCCTCTAACTTTCAATGCAGTCTTTTGTAAATCCTCCTCCACCTTTCAATGACTTGGTAGTAGTTTCCAGAGCTTCTCCTTCATACTGTCTGTCTGTGGCAGAAATCCAAGTCTCATCATTTCTTACTTCATCCCTCCCCGCTATTTTTCCTTTTTTTAGTCTGTTTAATTGCTGCTCAATTTCTCCGCCTGATACCTCGACCTCTGTGTTCCTTAAAATGTTGCTACCAGTCCTCTATTTGTATTTCTCTTCCACTTGTTCTTTTCTGTGTCTTCGCGTACAACCCCCACCACTTTCCAGAACATCATTTTCATGGCACTACCCTCTTCATTCGGCCTCCCTCCCGCCCCATATCAAATACCTACCCTTGAATATATCTCAAAATTCTTAAAGATCCTCAAACGCTCATGCAGACCTTTAAAATCTCTAAAATCCACAAGAAAGCTGTGGGTACAATTAAAGAAGAAATCACTTGGTGATTCAAGAAGACAATTAATCATCATAAGAATCGGTAGATCCTCTTCAAAGTTGTTAAATATCTTTTAACGCTCTTAAAGACCAATCTTCTTTATGGCCTGTAAAAACACTTGAAGGCTTGGGAAGATTAAACCCTTCTAGAAGATTTTGGGAGACTCTCTGAGGCTTTTCAAAGCTGCTAGGTTGAAAAACCCACCAACTAACTGACCGTAGCCGTCGGTATTCAGAAGGGTGCAGTCTGCCGATAGTATGTAATTACATACACAAAAACAAAGAGAGAGGTTATGATTAGGGAATGCAATACCGGGATTGCGGGATACCGCAGCATTTTTGCGAGATTAATCCCGCACATAAATGGAGCGGGATCCCGCAGGATTTGCGGGACTGAGGAATTTGTCGACCAAGGGGACAACTCTGTTTACTTTGTTAATGAAACTGATAACGGCGAATTATTTTTTAAATAATTGTTAAACTTCGTTAAAAATTTCGTTAAAAATGTACTATGATTTTTGAGGCACTTTAGAAGACTTTTTGTGCTTCACAGGTAAGGTTTTTTTGAGTTCTAAGTTAGGCCGAAAGTACTTTTTTGTTAAATATTGTGATAATTAGCGATTTATTTTAATACAGAAGTTAACCGCACAGAATTGCTTATTTGCCAATTTTTTAAAGTTTTGCGAGATCCCGCAAATTCCGGGATCCCGCGGGATTAACATCTAACAATCCCGCAAATACCGGGATTGAGATTTTGCTGCGGGATTGCATTCCCTACTACAAACCAATTTCGAAAGAAAATTCAAAGGAGTGTAACTTTTGAACTAGTAGCCGAATCTTGGAACTGTTTGAAATTATGGATTCTACAGGCCACATTCTATAAGAAAAAATTGTTTCCGGGTCGATCTGAGACAATTTTTTTTTAGGGCCTCAAAAAAAGGCCTTTCTTTCCCAAAAATCAACTGCACCAAAATTTCTCGGGAAAACACTTTTTCTTATTCATTTTGGAGCGTAGAATTCAAAACAATTCGTACATTTTCGATCAGACCTCTGAATCAAAAGTTATAGACTAGAAACTAGGGAATGCAATACCGGGATTGCGAGATCCCGAAATACCGGGATCCCGCACATAAATGGAGCGGGATTTGCGAGACTGAGGAATTTGTCGACCAAGGGGACGACTCTGTTTATTTTGTTAATACAGGTATAGCTTTTGGAACAAATTTGCGCGACCTCTAGCGGCCGAATAAGAAAATATGAAATAACAACGATAAACTTGAACCAACTTACACAGAAAATATGCAGATGGTGTAACGGGTATTACATGAAATACAGAATGTAAGGGAAAAACTATCTACAATCTTTAATTGTCTGTTGACCTTTAACATCCATGAGTCCTCAATGCGTTTTAAAAGTGCTTCGAAAATTTTTCTTGCTCTTTTTAAGAGTTCTTACAAGTGTTTCAAAAGCTTTGAGTCATTAAGAGTTTCAAAAGGTTCTCCAAAGGGGGGGTTTAGTCTTCAAAAGCTTTTAAGGGCCTTGGATAGCCTTTAGCAGCTTTTAAAGCTAACAACAGCCTCAGTTTGAAGTCTCGTTACAGTTTAACTCCGCAATGTTGCTAAACCTCTTTAGAGATTAACATTAAAGTGTTTTTTGACACGTTAGAATGCTTCAGGGTCTTCGTGGCTACCAATTTTGTTTCCTAGCTAGCATCCACAGCTTCTAGGGTTGCTGTAGGTTTTTATAGGTTCGAAAACGTTCAAGGGGTTTCTAAGAACATTCCGTAAACAGCCCTTAAGATTGTTTCTTCTGTTGAACAATCGAGCATTAGGAAATTTTACGAACCCTTCAACCCTTTTTAGGTTTTTAAATGCCATTCGATAACCTCTAAGAGCTTTTAAAGGTACTTCTATTCTATCCTATTCACAAGGGGTGGGAGGGCCGACCAGACATCACTTGGGCACACCAATTATGCCTACCCTCTTTCTCTCGCAACTAAGATCAGGCCCCGTTCCTCTCAATAAAGGATAGAACCCTGTTTAGTCCAAGTTGCTTCACCCTCTCCGGTTCCAGATAACTGTCGCCAAGGACCTGCTGCCTGCCTCTGAGCGCTGAGCGATCTTGAGATCATGGGTTGCCAAAAGAAAGACTTTTGTTAGTATCATTTCCCTGTCCCCAGAGAGGGTAACTGGCCCCTCGTGGGGAACCACTGCAGATTATGGTGTTCGTTGCAGCCAAAATCGACAAGGGATGAGTGCGTGAGGCGTTTTCTTTTAAAAAAAACTAACTGTGCCAAGCGACAATCATTTTCAATGGATTCTAATCTTGAAAACTTGCATGATCCCTCCCAACAATGGCACTTAAATCTCCTGTAAGGTATGCAAACACCCCTACTTCTGTGCGGATAATTATCGTAATTAACGACTGTTACAGCAGTTTTTAATTAAGATTGAGATAAGGTGGTCTAATTGCTAATTATTGACTCGGAAAGAAATAATTCGACGCCGTGCGTATTGCGTTAGCCGAATGAGAAAAAAAAATAAGCTGCGATGACCTGTAAAGATTGCGACGATTTCATTTAAATAGGCATTACTTAAGACCGTGAAGGATAGAAGGGTAAGACAATGGAATTGATGCAAATTTTTAATCGTTAGTCAAACAAGCCAAATTAATTTGTTAACCTACGTGTTTTTTATTTCTCATTTACTAAGACTTTTGTACCCAATTTCGGTCTTGTGCGGTTTAGTAATAGCGTAGTAAGCGAGGTGTGACCGATTCCGTACTTCTCAGCCGAACAATGAGGTGTTCTTCAAGTTTAACATATTAAATTGCAATAAATCTGTTTCGCATTACGGTCTTGAGTAATGACTTAATCTGTACAGATGTTCCTGCCGGTTCCACATGGCTTAGTCGCGACCATCGGGAACTAAGGGTAATGGGTAGGCGTCCTGTTTCAACTTTGAAATGGTGCTATTACAAAATAATGAAAAAATGGTGGTTTTTGATGGTTTTACTCTTAAAAACCCCTAAAACATTTCGGTAACTATTAACCAATTAGCTTGCTAATTACTGTTAAATCCTATTTACACACTTTAATTAGATCTTAAGCTAGAATTATACAAAATAAATTAATTTGCTAGGTAAGGCACCCCGGTGGTGGTTGGAGTTTCAGAAAGTTAGTATTTGTAGCTACCGTCTGGATAATACTGCTGAGAGGGTGGGCTGGGTCTTCTGGTTGGATCTGGGAATGGTATCGACGGTCTCTCCTTCGGATATCCGGTGAAAGTGCCGGGAGGCGATGACGGGAATGCTGGGTGTGCCGGAAATCCTGGCGGAGGCGAGGGTTTTCCCGGGTATCCGGGCGATGTGGGAGGAAAGCTGGGTTGGCCGGGGAACGAGGGGTATCCGGTGCTCGGTGGAAAACTGGGAGCGGGCGGCCTTCCTGGGAAACCTGTAGCGGGAGGGGAAGGTGAAGGATACCCTGTAGATGGCGGTGAAGGTGGGAAACTAGGTTTTCCTGGGTATCCTGTCACGGGCGGAGGTGATGGGGGGAAGCTGGGCCTGCCGGGGAAGCCGGTCGTGGGCGGAAAGCTCGGTGTACCGGGTGGAATACTTGGTTTGCCTGGGTAGCCTGGTCCCGAAGGTGAAGGTCTGCCGGGGTAGCCGGTTGTGGGCGGAAAGCTCGGTGTACCGGGTGGGAAACTCGGTTTGCCTGGGTAGCCTGGTCCCGAAGGTGTTGGAGGAAAGCTGGGCTTGCCCGGAGGTGGCGTTGGGAAGCTCGGCGTGCCAGGTGGAAAACTGGGTCTGCCAGGATAACCTGTTGGTGGCGAGGGCGGAAATGCCGGTTTCCCTGGATATCCAGTCACCGGAGGCGATGGAGGAAAGCTCGGCTTTCCGGGATAGCCGGTCGAAGGCGGAAAACTGGGTTTGCCGGGATAGCCTGGCGAAGGCGGCAAGGACGGAAACGCCGGTTTCCCTGGATAACCAGTCGCCGGAGGGGATGGAGGAAAGCTAGGCTTTCCGGGATAGCCCGTCGATGGCGGAAAGCTGGGTTTACCGGGATAACCAGTCGAAGGTGGCGATGGCGGGAAGGTAGGTTTACCCGGATACCCCGTCACCGGCGGCGATTGGGGAAAGGACGGCCTGCCGGGATAGCCGGTGGCGGGTGGCGAGGGTGGAAAACTGGGCGTCGACGGCGGCGATGGCGGAAAGGCGGGTTTGCCTGGATACCCTGTTACCGGCGGCGATGGGGGAAAGCTAGGCTTTCCCGGGTGGCCGGGGCCGGGCGGAACGCCGGGTTTTCCGGGGTAACTCGGCGAGGGCGGAAAGCCGGGTTTTCCGGGATAACCCGGCGAAGGGGGAAAGGCCGGTTTGCCTGGGGGCAACGGAAATTCCGGTTTACCACCGGGATATCCCGGATATGTCCCGGGTCTCTTCCCTCCCGGCGGGCCTGGATACGACGGATACGTGGGGTTTCCTTCGTACCTCACCTGAAACTCGTTCCTTTAGTTTTACGTGCAATTCCTAACGCGAAATCACCTGAGCGTGGAATCCGGTAGCCCAGTCGGCCGTGTACTTGGTGATTTGTTTACGGCCGTCGGGCAGAAGCACCTGATACTCTCCTTTGGTAACGTCTCCATCACTGATGGCGTTGTGCGAGTAATCATTGCCATATTCCGGTTCAACTACCGCATAGTTAAAATCGAAAGGCATTCCAGGTTCGTGGTGGTGGTGGTGATCATGGTGGCCATGCTGAAAGGTAAACCATGAGTTGGGGCAGTGAATTGGGGAATGGTATACGTGATCGTCTCCAATTCCGTTCCCGTTGTACTCGGGGATTGGGCCAGGGCCTGGTTTAAAACTGGGTCCTGTAGGTCTAGGGGTTGGTATGCTTGGAGGTAGATACTGAGTACCGGGTTTACTGGGCGTAAACGGGGGCCGTTGCGTTGGTGGACCTACAGGGGGGCGATAGGGCGGCGAGGTCGGTTGAAACGGTGGACCATACGTGGGCGGGGGCTGTTTTGGCGGTCCGTAGGTTGGTGGTTGACTAGGTGGACCGAAGGGTGGCTTCGTCGATGGACCGGGCTGGAATGGTGGCAGTATCGGTGGACGTTGGGTTGGAAACTGTGGCGGTTTGCCCGGATATCCCGGCTTTTGTGGAGGTAGGTAACCGTTTTGACCTGCTGCTACGTCCGTCTGCACGTATACGATGTGACAACACAACGCCACAATTATCTGCAAGAAAAAACAGTGTCAGATGAAGCCGCCAATAAATTCTTAATGAAATGATAATCGGAGATTGATGATTCGCGAACCGTTACGCGTGAAGGATCTTATAAAATGCCGAAACTAATTAACTTGTAACTTCCCCAAGGGAGCACTTTTCTTTATGTAATCGTAATTATCGAAGTCTAATTATTGAGCAATTTCTTGTGTTTTATTATAATTTGGCGTCCAACGATTGAAGATTAAATCGAGAGTCGTGAAATGTCAGAGGAATTATAGGTTTTTTTTTGTCTTGTTGCTGGAAACGAAATTAACCAAATGAAAGAAGAAATGGTAATCAGATGACTTAACTTTCTTCGATTACACAAACTCCGATGGTGTCGCGATGTGACCAATTGGATCGAAGACTTTAAGAAGTCGCAGTGAAAAGTTCACGGATCGCATGACCTAACCGGATGCATTCTTGATTATAATCGTGAACCCAACCCGTTATTGGATGAATACTTCATAGGTTAAGGTTACAGTGGTGCTACACAATGAACGGAAAGATACGCTTTTACTTTCTACGTTATTCCAGTTAAAAGACTGCTACGGGCGGTAGCCGTTTTATTGATACTTGACCGCTTTTCTTCAGCTCCGTCTGTTCGTCCTTTTTTCCAATTCTTCCTCCTCCAATTATCATTTTTAAATTTTCTTTTTCGCTCGTATTCTTCCGATTTTTGTTTTGCTCCACTTTAAATTTTCCAGAGCTCTTCAGTATTTTCACATTCTTCACACCCATCCCATCAAATCCTTGATATTCCTCAAGGTTTTCTTCTAATTTTTTTCACTATTTTGCATCCTTCAGACTATTGGGATCATCCAGATTATTCGCATTCAATTAATCAGATTTTCTAATAATTCTTCTCCTTTTGCAACACTTCTCATTTTTTTGAATTCTTTCATTTCGATCTTTCAAATTACCTATTTTCTAAATCTAAAACTTCTGGAGTATTTAAACAATTTTAGATCCTCCATCAAGTGTTTCAACGCTGTCAGGATTTGTAGGATTTTTATATTTCCTCCTGTTGCTGGAATTCTTGTGCTTTTTCAGATGCTATGCCATCCAATTCATTCATGTCCGTTCTCTACATTCCTTAATTATACTGTGAATTGTGCATTTTTCCTTTACTAAAGCAATTCGAACTGAACATTTTTGTTTTTTTTTTATTTACCAACCCTTAAACCTTTACCAACCCTTTATTAATAAATTTCCGTCTACGTTAGATTTGCCAATTTTTTTAAGTCATTCATACCTGCATGTAAAGCACTCTTGTATTGAGGGGGTTGTTCCTTTACGTAGTACACCGAACATTTTTGTTTCTTTGATAGATTATGTTTAAATAATCTGTAACCAACCCTTAAACAACCCTTTAATAATAAATTTCCGTCTGCTTCAGGTTTGCCAAATTTTTTAAGTCATTCATACCTGCTCTTATATTACGGGGGTTGTTAATTTACGTAGTACACTGAACATTTTTGTTTCTTTGATAGATTATGTTTAAATAATCTGTAACCAACCCTTAAACAACCCTTTAATAATAAATTTCCGTCTGCTTCAGGTTTGCCAAATTTTTTAAGTCATTCATACCTGCTCTTATATTACGGGGGTTGTTAATTTACGTAGTACACCGAACATTTTTATTTCTTTGATAGATTATGTTTAAATAATCTGTAACCAACCTTAAACAACCCTTTAATAATAAATTTCCGTCTGCTTTAAGTTTGCGAATTTTTGTAATTCATACCAGCATGTAAAGCACTCTTATATTGCGGGGGTTGTTACTTTACGTAGTACACCGAACATTTTTGTTTTTTTGATAGATTATGTTTAAATAATCTGTAACCAACCCTTAAACAACCCTTTATTAATAAATTTCCGTCTACTTAGGTTTGCGAAATTTTTTAAGTCATTCATACCTGCATGTAAAGCACTCTTATATTGCGGGGGTTGTTACTTTACGTAGTACACCGAACATTTTTGTTTCTTTGATAGATTATGTTTAAATAACCTGTAACCAACCCTTAAACAACCCTTTAATTAATAAATTTCCGTCTACTTTAGGTTTGCCAAACTTTTTAAGTCATTCATACCTGCATGCAAAGCACTCTTCCATTGGGGGGATGTTCCTTTACGTAGTACACCGAAATTTTTGTTTTTTTTTGATAGATTATGTTTAAATAATCTGTAACCAACCCTTAAACAACCCTTTATTAATAAATTTCCGTCTACTTTAGGTTTGCCAAATTTTTTAAGTCATTCATACCTGCATGTAAAGCACTCTTGTATTGCGGGGGTTGTTCCTTTACGTAGTACACCGAACATTTTTGTTTTGTTTACTTTGATAGATTCTGTTGAAATAATCTGTAACCAACCTTAACAACCCATTCAAAATAAATTTCCCGTCGACTTTAGTTTGCGAATTTTTTAAAAGTCATTCATACCTGCATGTAAAGCAGGCACTTTATATTGCGGTGGGGGGTTGGTTTACTTTTATGTAGTACACTGAACTTTTTGTTTCTTTGATAGATTATGTTGAAACTAATCTGTAACAACAACCCTTAAACAACCCTTTAAATAATAAATTTTCGTCCACTTTAGGTGTTGCGATAATTTTTTTTAAGTCATTCATACCTGCATGTAAAGCAACTCTTATATTGCGGGGGTTATTACTTTTACGTAGTAAACTGAACATTTTCTGTTTCTTGATAGATTATGGTGTGAAATAATCTGTAACCAACCCTTAAACAACCCTTTAAAATAAATTTCGTGGACTTTAGGGTTTGCGAACATTTTTTAAGTCACATTCATATCTGCATGTAACGCACTCTTATATTGCGGGGGTTGTTCCTTAAGTAGTACACCGAACATTTTTGTTTCTTTGATAGATAATGTTTAAATAATCTCTAACCAACCCTTAAACAACCCTTTAATAATAAATTTCAGTCTGCTTCAGGTTTGCGAAATTTTTTTAAATCATTCATATCTGCATGTAACGCACTCTTATATTGCGGGGGTTGTTCCTTAAGTAGTACACCGAACATTTTTGTTTCTTTGATAGATTATGTTTAAATAATCTCTAACCAACCCTTAAACAACCCTTTATTAATAAATTTCGTGTACTTAGGTTTGCCAATTTTTTAAGTAATTCATACCAGCACATAAAGCACTCTTATATTGCGGGGGTTGTAACTTTACGTAGTACACCGAACATTTTTGTTTTTTTGATAGATTATGTTTACATAATCTGTAACCAACCCTTAAACAACCCTTTATTAATAAATTTCCGTCTACTTTAGGTTTGCGAAATTTTTTAAGTCATTCATACCTGCATGTAAAGCACTCTTATTTTGCGGGGGTTGTTCCTTTACGTAGTATACCGAACATTTTTGTTTTTTTTAATAGATTATGTTTAAATAATCTGTAACCAACCCTTAAACAACCCTTTATTAATAAATTTCCGTCTACTTTAGGTTTGCGAAATTTTTTAAATCATTCATACCTGCATGTAAAGCACTCTTATTTTGCGGGGGTGGTTCCATTACGTAGTATACCGAACATTTTTGTTTTTTTGATAGATTATGTTTAAATAATCTGTAACCAACCCTTAAACAACCCTTTATTAATAAATTTCCGTGTACTTTAGGTTTTCCAAATTTTTTAAGTCATTCATCCCTGCATGTAAAGCACTCTTGTATTGGGGGGGTTGTTCCTTTACGTAGTACACCGAACATTTTTGTTTTTTTGATAGATTATGTTTAAATAATCTGTAACCAACCCTTAAACAACCCTTTAATTAATAAATTTCCGTCTACTTTAGGTTTGCGAAATTTTTTAAGTCATTCATACCTGCATGTAAAGCACTCTTATATGCGGGGGATTGTTACTTTACGTAGTACACCGAACATTTTTGTTTCTTTGATAGATTATGTTTAAATAATCTGTAACCAACCCTTAAACAACCCTTTATTAATAAATTTCCGTCTACTTTAGTTTGCGAAATTTTTTAAGTCATTCATACCAGCATGTAAAGCACTCTTATATTGCGGGGGTTGTTACTTTACGTAGTACACCGAACATTTTTGTTTCTTTGATAGATTATGTTTAAATAATCTGTAACCAACCCTTAAACAACCCTTTAATAATAAATTTCCGTCTGCTTTAAGTTTGCGAAATTTTTTAAGTCATTCATACCTGCATGTAAAGCACTCTTATATTGCGGGGGTTGTTACTTTACGTAGTACACCGAACATTTTTGTTTCTTTGATAGATTATGTTTAAATAATCTGTAACCAACCCTTAAACCACCCTTTATTAATAAATTTCCGTCTACTTTAGGTTTCCGAAGTTTTTTAAGTCATTCATACCAGCATACACAGCACTCTTATATTGCGGGGGTTGTTACTTTACGTAGTACACCAAACATTTTTGTTTCTTTGATAGATTATGTTTAAATAATCTGTAACCAACCCTTAAACAATACTTTAATAATAAATTTCCGTCTGATTCAAGTTTGCCAAATTTTTTATCATTCATACCTGCATGTAAAGCACTCTTATATTGCGGGGGTTGTTACTTTACGTAGTACACCGAACATTTTTGTTTCTTTGATAGATTATGTTGAAATAATCTGTAACCAACCCTTAAACAACCCTTTAATAATAAATTTGCGGTTGCCTCAAGTTTGCGAAATTTTTTAAGTCATTCTTGCCTGCATGTAAAGCACTCTTATATTGCGGGGGTTGTTACTTTACGTAGTACACCGAACATTTTTGTTTCTTTGATAGATTATGTTTAAATAATCTGTAACCAACCCTTAAACAACCCTTTATTAATAAATTTCCGTCCTACTTTAGGTTTTCGAAATTTTTTAAGTCATTCATACCTGCATGTAAAGCACTCTTATATTGCGGGGGTTGTTCCTTTACGTAGTACACCGAACATTTTTGTTTTTTTGATAGATTATGTT